ATCTCTTTGAGCAATCTCTTTGTGTGATCTCTTTGTGTGATCTCTTTTTGTGATCTCTTTGAGCGATCTCTTTGTGTGATCTCTTTGAGCGATCTCTTTTTGTGATCTCTTTGAGCGGTCTCTTTGAGCGGTCTCTTTGAGCGGTCTCTTTGTGCGGTCTCTTTGTGCGGTCTCTTTGTGCGGTCTCTTTGTGCGGTCTCTTTGTGCGGTCTCTTTGAGCGATCTCTTTGTGCGATCTCTTTGTGCGATCTCTTTGTGCGATCTCTTTGTGCGATCTCTTTGTGCGGTCTCTTTGTGCGGTCTCTTTGAGCGATCTCTTTGAGCGATCTCTTTGTGCGGTGTCTTTGTGCGATCTCTTTTTGTGATCTCTTTGAGCGATCTCTTTGAGTGATCTTCAGGACACATCAAGCCCTTCTTTGCACATTAGCTGCATTTTGTTCAGTTCTCTGTCATGAAAATCATCTGTCACAATTTTAATGACACCCAGTGCCTGGAAATTATTTTGCCCTTTTTATTGAAAAACTAGAGACTGTGTTTGCTTAATGTCAGACTTTTTACTCACATGCTGCTCCTAAATACGTTTGTATTACAGGTCTGTGTTTATTCACACGTGTCAGTGAAGCACACTGTGTTAAACAACTGTTTGAATTACTCGAATGGTTGAAGCTCCGTCTCTTTCTTTAACATTTCTAGGCTCTTTAGATTGTTGTGACTTGCATGTTTGTATTTCTTGTTGGACCTGAAACACTACATGTATAAACCTGCACCGTGGAGGCCTGGAGGGTCGAGTTTGTGCTGTCGCTGGCTGCAGAGGCACACAATCAGCTGTCAGAGCAGAACACGACATGCAACCAACACTACTGAATGCAATCGCAGTCTCTCTTTTCCCCACCTAAAACTAAGCAGTTCACAGTTACAGGCACCACATGCACATCCCTCCACAAACAGGTTTCTTATTGAAACACAGTCATGTCCTCCCCACATCAACCTTTTTATCCTGCACACGTGCTGATTGGATTCCTGTTCGTGCGTCACTAAGAAACACGTTTGTGACTTGATTGGCATGTAGAGTGTGTTATGTTGTGAAATGTCTGCATGTGATTGGGAAGAGAACGATGATTTTATTGGATAAAATAGTGCTGATCGCTCCGCTCGGGGCGCCCGGACAGACAAGGAAAAATCTGTTTCTGACTCCGGCTTCTTGTTGCAGTGTCACCCAACTCAAACAGGCTCTCCTTCACACCAAAAGGAAGCGGTGTCATGTGATTGTGGTGGGGCAAAATTCCTCCACCCACTGTAAAATACAATGACAGCTTGGCCACTGTATTTAACACGTCACCTTCCACAAACCGGTGCCTGCTCCTATGTCATTGTAATGAATGTATACTTTTACAATATTATTTTGTTCTACGAAATTAGAAAAAGATGCTGACATATCCAAGCGTTTGGCTAATAGCTCTTTGGGAGTCATCTTTTGGGGGAAATGTATTATTGCAACAGGCTGGTAGCAGCAAAGTGCCGGGATTATTGGATCATTCGTCTGTGTAGACACAACAAAGGTTAATCTTTTGAGCTAGATGCCTTTTTTTTATACATAAGCCAGTGTTAAGTCCTCTGAAAACTGTCAGGTACAAGTACTGAACCAAAAACGATTGAAAAAGCACCCAGTGTCTAAAGAAACCCTGAAACAAAAGACAGCTCGGAGAACTGAAAGTCTGGCTTTATGGAAGCAAAACAAAGTCAAGACTTCTGCACACTAATGTAGAATACAGTTCTTACAGTAACTGGAGGAAAGTGCCCACAGGAGAACTACACCTGCTACAGCAGATCTACTTTGTTTCTGTCTCGTTTGTGGTGTGACTTGTATTGAGCCACAGATAATGTGCACACCCATGTATACCGTCACATTTCACAACACTATAAGGCTATCTGACGTGTGTTTGGACATGGTGTGGAGATGGACGACAGAAGATTTTGATCTTTTTTTTCTGAACTTGGATCACCAGAGAAAAAGCAAATAAGCATTTCAGCATGTGTGTGTATATGATGGTAGTTTTTACCAGTGCGGAGAAGGCCCAGACATTTGTGTTGAAGAGAAACTCTAAATTGTGTCTTCGTAGATATGCTAGTCCACCAATCACAGCCAGAAGGAATCCCAGCAGGAGAGGCCCTGCATAGTTGGGAGGACGAATGACACGGATCTGAAACACACAAACATGAGAGTAGACTTCAGAGGCTCTCACCATGCCCCTGTTTGAATGTGTTTGTTTGCTTTAATTAGAAGTCTGAATTCATTTTATTGCAAACATCTTCACTGATCTCATTGAAACGTTTGACACTTACTTGTACATCAGTTCTGTCTGCCACCCATCTAGCCAGCTGCTCAGCCGCGAAGCCTCGGACCTGGAGCTCATACGTATCAGGCCTTCGAGGTTTTCCTTTGGATGGGAAATGGAGGAATGTTGGGGCAGAATTCATATTCAGCTGAAAATACAGAGAGAATCAGAAGATTAGATACGTGTAGTGATGGGATTTAACAAGTTAAACTCCTCTTGGATGTCTGATTAAATGTAATCAAATATGTTCTAATATTTATCATCTTTTACTACAGACAAAGGTACAGAGCGAACATGCAAACACAACAGGGAAACAGCCCAGGGGTTGAACACTGCACACATTTTTAGGTCAACTAAATTTGTTTAAACAAATGTATTGTACAAAACGAAAGTGTGATAATATTAAAATAACTGAAGCAGTCTGCGGTCTAACCACTCATTTTATTCATGATTTTATGAAGAAAAAACATGTTTTCATTCAACCAAATGAGTGCCATCATTAAATTATTATAAAATTACAAAGTTTCTCTGAGATTGCTTCATTATGTATACACAAGTTGGCCTGACTGAGATGTTTTTAAATGCATGAAAACAGAATAAAATGTCTCACCATCTGAAACACATCTGATCCTTCATCAAAGTCGACTGACGCAAAAAAGACTTTATTGGTAAAGGCAGAAGAAAAACGCCAGGAGTTAGCCAGCACCTGGAACTCCTCATCAGCTTGCCTGAAAAGGAAACATGTTTTAAAGTCACAAATGCAAGCTGGAATAAAAGCAGTGCATGTTCTTCCTGTTGCTACTTGTTACCTGCACACTCCACATTGTCTCTGTGGCTGCAGTGCTGTAAACATGATGACCACTGAGTAGTTTCTAGGGGGAGCCTTGACAAAACGACGAAACTTATCTCCATTCATTTTGATGACTGATCGTTTGGAGGCCCACTCCATCATCTGCGTCACCTTCTCTGACAGCAGAGTCTACACACACACACAAAGACACCAACACAACTGCTAAAGCTCCAGTAGCAAAAACAAACGTCTTTCTATTGTCTATGCATTTTATTTTCGTTCAGTTAAACGCGCCCTTTAGGCGTTAGAATAAAGGTAATTAATGTTTAATTCATTTCCGGTTTAATAACGCCCAGTCAAGTTTACAACCAGTAGTTGGGTTAGTCGGAGCTAACAACTGTGATCAAACTAATGCTGTCTGATGAAATTAGCATGTTATTTAAGCTACTGCTGTAACTGCTAAAACTACTTTAGATAATGAGTAACTGAGCTCTTTCTAGCAGCTGTTAGCTTAAGCTAGCTACCAAGAATGATGCGGAAACAGACGACGTGCAACTTTGACGAAGTTGGAAAAACTCCCTCCAAAGTTTAACAACTTCCTTGGCTACACACCACTGAAGACATCACCTCTTTCTTCTTCTGCGCCTCCGCGGGTTCATAGAAGAAGACCGCGAGAAGAAGCAGCGAAGTCAAAACTTTTCCTAACATTCTGCTGCACTATCCACACTACTACCAAACACACGCGCGCGCGCTCGCGAACACGCGATAATATCCTGTCAGCTTTCCATTGGTCACATCTCAGCCAATCACACAGAGAGCAGTCCTTCCTTCTGGTTTCTCTCTTCTTCGTTTCAAAAACCGATTTGAAACAAGCTGCTCATTGCCGCCACCTACAGCTGTGCTGCAGAGCCAGGTACCTGGAGTAAGGATACCTCAAAACAGCATTCCTACGTACGAATTTCTCCGTACTTCTGATGTAATCCACTGACGAGTTTAGTGTGCTGTGACCTAATCAATAATAGTGAATAGGAAATATTCTGCAAACGTTCGCTAGCTAGCCGACTTTGTAGACGTGACGCAATGCGTGTACAAAAGTTAGGATACGGTTGCCTTTGGTAAAGACTGCAGTTCGTGGGACAATCCACAACCTTCCCCACAACTTCAGTTTCACCGCTCGGCTTAACTCTATCACCGGTGCGGATACTCACGACACCGCGTCCCGTTTTCCTGTCACCGCCACAGTTTTCGGCAGCGGTACCAACTGTCGCAGTTCCCGGAAAGTTCTTTTTTTTTTTTTAAATATTAAACTTTATTAAGAAACAGTATACAGAACATGTATACAATCAGAACAAAATTAACATATGCCAGGGGGTGTAATACAAAGAATTACAAACATTCAAATAATTTGTAATTACTACAAATAGTAATAGTTTTCATAGCCTTTTTGTTAAGTGATCCACTAATCAATTTTATGTAACATAAAACATCATTATAGTAATGTTTAAAATTAGGTTTTTTGTTACTGTATTTGCATTTGTGAAAATAAAATTTAGCTAAGATAACTAACAAGTTTATTATAAAGTAAACATCTTCTTTTTTTGCCTTCGAAAGAAACAAAATACAACATTTTCCCGTTTCACAGTAAAGTCTTTTAGAGATGTCCAGCAATGAATCTACTGAAGTCTTTCCAAAATGTTCCAGCGTATGAACAGATCCAGAAGAGGTGCTGCACAGTCTCAGGATGGCTTCCACAAAATCCACAGTTCACACTTATGTCCCTTTTGAACTTCGTCATGTAATGATTAGCAGGATAAAATTTATGCAGTATTTTAAATGAGACTTCCTTCACTTTATTCGTTACCAGATACTTGTTAGGAATTGTCCATACTCTTTTCCAGTTAATGTCACTGACAAAGAAATTCCAATAAGAGACCACATGTGGGACAGTTAGAGATTCTGTCTGGAACAAAGCACGGATATTCTTATTACTTTTACTGTGGTTTGTTAGACAGATTCTTCCTATGTGTGAATCTAAAGGGTTGGGGAGAGAAACAGATGATATGAAGGTTGAATACCTTTAAAAAGCATTATAATACCCGTAGGTATTGCATCAAATAATATGGCATATTCTTTGGGTGTGGCTGGAAATTTATAGGTGTTTAAGAATTCTGAGTAGGACATGAGCTGCCCATTAGGATTAAACAGCTGATTCACTAAAACAATCCGTTTCTCAACCCACCTAGAAAAAAATAATGATTTATTTTTATACACTATGTTCCTATTATTCCAAATTGAATACGTATGGGGTGTAAAGTTGTGTTTATATATAAGGGACCAAGCTAATAGAACTTGTTTGTGAAACATCGAGAGCTTTTCTGGAAGCTTATCTATATTATAATCACAACCTAAGATAAAACTTAGACCACCAAACTTAGAGAAAATGTAGTGAGGAATAAAATTCCAAATGGATACCGGATTTTTAAGAAAATGTTTAGCCCAATTAATCTTAAATGTATTGTTTAGAGTAGTAAAATCCAAAACATTGAGACCACCGTGTTCATAGTCATTCATCAATACACTTTTTCTGATGTAATGTGTCCGGTTTTTCCAAAGGAAGTTGAAGAGCATTCGGTCAATATCCTTACAAGTTTTGCCGTCCACATGCAGAGAAATTGCTGCATAAGTCAGTCGAGACAGACCTTCTGCTTTTGAGAGCAATACCCTTCCTCTTAAACTTAAATCTCTCTGCAACCATTGATTTAATTTGGTTTGAGATTTTTTAATAATTGGGGGAAAATTTAGTAAAATTCTGTCTTTTGGATCTTTGCAGATAATCAGACCTAAATATGTTGCTTCATTTTTAACTGTTATATTACAAATACTCTGAACATTACACTCTTTGACAGGTAATAACTGACATTTATTTAAGTTTAGGACCAATCCAGACCCTTTTGAGAAATCCTCTATTACACGTAAAGCAATTGGCACTTGGCTGGCATTTTTAAGTAACAACATGATTATTAGAGGTTCATGCGTCATAAACTATAGTGTCACACAACTCTGAGTATTATGCAAACAATTTTCAGCATTTAACCAATTATTTTCTCGTTTAATTTTTGTGTTTTATTGCGGCAGCAGTAAAGATGTCTGTTACCTACACTCTGACCAACAATTAGTTGACATTAAACTGCCGTAATCAATCGTTTTTACTCAAGGTGAAACTACATGTTTAATTTCTATTAACATAGAATCTTAAATTATGCATTAAATAAATCAAGTTTACAATAGTGCGCTTTACTCAAAATCATTAGTAAAATAATTCTATAAAACTTAAACATAATTTTTATCAGTACTTAAAATAATAAACTGTCTTTTCTTGTACTTTAATTGTACTGTTTTTATTTGTTACTATTGTATTAAAATATTCTTAAACCACCGATTCAAAACTAAAAGAAAATACAGTGACGGGATATCCAGAGAGGATCCACCGTGGCACGCAAACAAACCCCACAAAGCGAGGCTTCGTTAAACATTTAAAACATTTGTGCCACAATTGTATCGATTCTTCGAAACAACGTCTCCACAGTGACACCTGCTCGCCAATTTGGCTATTGCCGCATGTCGATAATGCTATTCTGCGAAAAAGTGTGGCAGACAACAAAGCTACTTATAATACCAGACTGTCAGTAATGGTGATCTGCACATCTGTTGGCTCAATCCTTGTACAAACAATGCAAGAAAAAGATTGAGACTGTTAAAGACAGCAGGCTTTGATTGTCATAAACTGTGCTTCAACAAACTGATCCTTCTGTCTACATCCGTGCTGCTGAGCAACCGCTGAACCACGAAGAAGCTCCTTTATCCTCCTGTGGATGTTTTATCTTGTAACACCGGCAGGATGTTAGAGTGAGGATGTGATGCAGCAAATAACATTTTTTGTTGAAAGTAGACAACATTTTTTACGAATGTGTGTATAAGAAATAGAAGAGGTGGTATCAAAAATATAATTCAGTAATTACAAATGATTCTGCTTCATAAAAATGGAATCCTGGCACCTCGCGATGTCTCAAAGCAGCAGGTACGTCCCAGCTGGGGTGAAGCACACCAAAACCTTGTTCAGTCGTAGCCATGTGATCTGGATGTTTTAAACCACGCTTCTGACCAGTGTTTCGAAGCAACCACGCTTCAGAAGCAGTGTCGAAACGTCTGTTCCCATCCCTAACATTATCCACAAACGTTAGAAACATGGACCAGTGGTGAACCTTCACAGGAGTGGCGGGCAGACCAAAATTACCCAAGAGAAGACTAATCCAAGAGGTCACCCCAGAACAACATGTAAAGAACTGCAGGCCTCAGTTAAGGTCAAAGTTCATGGGTGGAAATGGCCCGCATAAAGGTTTTCTCGGTTTTGCCAGAACACATCTTGATGATCCCCAAGAATGAGAAATGCACAACGTTTGTCCAGAAGTATAATCAGATATGGGGCAAGCACAGAAGCAGCCAGGATCAGGTCAGCTGACAATCTGCTTAGATTCTTTATGTTCTCTATGTCTTTTTATTCAGATGTGGAAACAAGTGTTACAAATGCTTTGAGGGAAATCATGTATATTTAAGCTTTCTGGAGGTTAAAAACTGCCCTGTGTGTGCTTGTTTATGTGAGTTCTTCAATCCTTTAATCTCTGCCGTGGAGGTTCGGGTTGTATTGATAACAACATCAGCACAACTACCAGTCACAGTAGCTGCTTTTATCAGATATACAGCAGGTTCAAAAGTACCAGAGACCATTAACATTATTTCCTGCATGATGTAAGATAACAAGCATCTGTTCTAATGTCATTGGTGTAAATGAGGAATGTGGGAGCTGCAGGCTAGTTTATCAAATCTGCAAACAATATCAATATGGTGACTACAAAGGCACGAGGTTGTGAACAGTTAAAAATGCAAGTCTCGTTAAGTCTTTTAGGGCTTGTTGCTACCAGCTTGGAAAGTGTAGACACTGTAACTTTTGTAAAAATAGCTCTTTCTGTGTTTGGGTGATGGCTTGAACAGGGCTCTGTGAGATGTTTTCATAACCTGACCCTGCTTTAAACTTCTCCACATTTTCATCCCCGACATCTCAGATGGGTTCCTTGGTCTTCAAAGTTCTGTTTGACAGTCTCGGGTGCTTGGTATTGAGTATTACTTCTCCTGTCTCATCAGACTTGTTCCCTTCTGTTTTCCTTGGTGTCCTACAGTGCTTAGGGCAATCGTGGCAGCCTGGCTTCTGTCAGTCTGCCCCGGGGCAGCTGTGGCTACACCTGTAGCTGCCTCCACCAGTGTGTGAATGTGAGAGTGAATGAATAGTGGCATTGTAAAGTGCTTTGAGGGTTTTGAAAAGCCTATATTAATGCCATTATTATTATTATTGTCAGTATTTATCCCTGTGTTCTCCATTCAGTTGTCTTCCTCTTTTATTGTGTCCATTGCTTCCCGTCACTCGTGTCGTTTACTTTCTTTGCCTCGACACGTCCATCGTTTCCAGCCGTGTGTCCCACCTCATGTCTCTCCTCCTGTTTCCAGTCTGTATTTAAATTCAAATTCAAATTCAAATTCAAATTTTATTTGTCACGTACACAGTCATACACAGTACGATATGTAGTGAAATGCTTGGACAACTGCTCGTGACCTAAAGAAAACAAAAAAAAAGGCTATGAATAAGATAGGAAATAAATATGAAAAATTAAAAAGGGTAAATTTAACTAGGAAGGAATAAAATATAAATTAAGGTTAAAAATGAAATAACTGTACAACACAAATTAGAATGAAGGGTAAATTTAACTGGGAAGAATAAGATAAAATATATAAATTAAAGTTGAAAATAAAATAACTGTACAACAAAATACACAATATAGAACTATATAAGAATGTATGAAGAAATCTAAATATAAATAAATATATACACAATAACAGCAGCTGTACAAGTATTAACCGGAAATGAAGAATATAGTGACCAGTGTTGTGCAAAAACAAAGTCCAGAAAGTCCAGTGTGTGTGTAAGAACCATATGTGTGGGTCAGTACTGTGTGGTGGTGTGATTGAGAGACCGTATCGCCTGCGGGAAGAAGCTCCTCCTCAGTCTCTCTGTGTTGGTCTTCAGGGAGCGGAATCGCTTTCCTGACCTCACAGAGAGAACAGTCTGTTGTTGGGATGGCTGAGGTCCTTCACGATCTTCCTGGCCTTGGTCCAGCACCGCCTGCTGTAGATTGAGTGCAGGTCAGGGAGCTCGGAGCGGATGGTGCGCTCAGCTGACCGCACAACCCTCTGTAGAGCTCGTCTGTCCTGCATGGTGCTGTTCCCGAACCAGGTTAAGATGTTTCCCGCCAGGATGCTCTCTATGGTGCACGAGTTATTGTCACGTGTTAAGTGAAAAGTAACATTAGTGAACTTGGGAACGACTGGAACGAGCAAAATAAATGGATCTTCAATAGGAGAAAGGAATGTTAGAATAAGGAATATTTTCGATCAGAATGGTAGAATTTAATTTCATTGCAGCTTTTCTACATTTGTGTTTATTACATTAACCTTGTTGAATTTGCGCAGAACTGTTCACTAATTTCTAAAGTGATTTTTAAATCATTTTTGAATGTGATGCATTCACTGTACTCGTCATACATATTATATTCAATTAACCAGGATGAATTAGAGCATAACTGTACTTTAACATCAAAGGAATATTGCAGTGGCTTGAGATGAAACCTGACACACAGGTGAGCCAGAGCAGGGGTATGTACGTGACCATTAACGATCAGTTAGGTTCACCTGTGTTTTTGTTACCAGCTGCAAAACGTTTAGCTGGTTTTAACCACACACACGCACACGCACACACACACACACACGCACACGCACGCACACATGCACGCTTCTGCAACCACATGCAAGTTTGGTATTGATTAACTACACCAAATAACCACTGAGAGATGAATAACGTTAATCTTTTAATTACAATACAATATTTGCCAGGGAAACCCTGCATCCATCCATGTGGGTGGACGTACCATCCACCCACAGACTGTTGCAGACCTATAGCGCCCACCGTGGTGCAGCAGCTTAAACTAGCAGGACAATAAATGTTGTTTGATGGGAAAACTGCTCAGGTCAAAGCACTGAGCATGTTAGGAAAAAAATACTAGGCAGATAGTTTGGGTTCAGTTGATCAGGGCATACCTGTGATAACATATTTATATCATACAAAACAATTCTTTTGAAGATGGATTGTCTAAAAACTCCCAGATAATGCAGCTGTTGTGGTCCCATAACAGGGGGTCTCGTCTTGCTCTTAGTTGGTAAAAGCTGAAACTATCTGTCCTGGGTGGGACTGTGCACAGCTGGTACTGCTTACTCTGATCATAGGCGCAGCCATCAGGTTAGCGGTGTTGCTTGAGTGTTCTTAGAGTGGATGTAAGACGGTGTGATCACCCACACAGTTTACTCCAAACATGACTCGTCTCTGAAGCATGCAACGAACCTTATTTTAGCTCTCGCACATATGAACCCCAATTTTGTGACATTTGCTTTGGTTTAGTCTTCAGAGACCACAAAGAAATCAAGGTAAACGATAGTGACGAAGTCTAGAACTGGTCACACTTTACTGCTACTCTGAATCAGCTCACAAACACCAAAGCCTCATTTTCAGGTGACCAGTTCAAAGGGCTCCAGTCAGAGTCAGTCCTGTCGCCCTGCATGCACATCAACAGCTGTTCACTGTGTGAGACCTCTGACCAGAATCTGTGTTGGTGAAATATTGCAGCAGACAGGAGACAAAGTTTAATCTGAATAATTCCAGATGTTTCTCAGAAAAACGGTCAGAGTTACAGGAAAGTGCTTCTCAGCAATTATATCTAATTAATTTATTTGAATTCTGCTCCTCTCCTATGGTGACCAGTGTGCAGGAGACAAAGCCATTTCATTTCATACAGTTCAGGACAAAATGCAAACACAAAGCAAAGGCCTTCTTTGCTGCAGGTGCAGATGACACAGGACGAAGCACAGAGTCTACATAGATTTCTGTACAAATGTCTTCTGATGCATTCAGCTTATCGTCCTGACAGAAATCCAGCTGGTAGCGTTATTGGGGCGATTACATTTTCTCTCAGACCGACAACATCCAAAGAATGACAAAGCAAAATTAAAAATGTTTTCACTGCACTACATTGTTTATTGTGGCTACACACATGGTTACTGTGAGAGTCAACGTCCCGTCTAGATAAGAAGCATTGTAGCTGGGCTTTGACAGCCCAGCTCATCAACAGGAATGGAAGCAAAGATTACTAATGGCTCATAATAACGCCGCCCTAATCACGCTTACTGACCATGTTTCCTTCTTAATTGTTCTTGATGGTTAGAGAGTCTGAAGAGACACGAAGAGGAGAAACTGTCACCATCGATAGCTGAAGGCCATCTCATCAGTCCTGCACTGTGTTGTCAGTAGAACTACTCTGAGCAGCCCTCTGCAGTTTCTTTTTGTAGCTGGGCCAGCGACATACTGGACAGCAGTGTCTGCCTGCTGCCAACCATACCACAATGCACTGCTGGTGGAAGGCGTGGCCACAGGGGAGCCCCATCAGTACCTCCTCGCTCACAAAGGTCTCCAGACAAACCACACATTCTGAACACTGAAGCATGTCACAGGGCCACATTGACCAATCACAGTGTTGATGGTTAGAAACACAGTCAGACACGACGCAGTTATCCTTCACCGCCCTGTCAGCTGACAGCGAGCTTCCATTCCCGGATGATTCAGCAGCACACGGACGGCCGCCGCTGGCGTCCACGTCGCCGCACGCAGGAAGCTGTGAGTTGAAGTTCACACTACATAGTGATCTCTTGTGGCTGCTGCTACCATGTGGAGGTTCCTTCCTCTCTTTGTCTGAATGTTGACTACGTGTTTCTTCATCCGCCTTTTCACAAGAGGCCTCCGACTGACCAGCTGCTCTGAGCCTCCAGGTCGGCAGCGTTTTGATGTAATCCATGTTTACTAATGGACGAAGCCACAGATCAGGAAAAGCCAAATGCTCAAATAAGAAGTTAGGATCATCTTCCCACTCTGAGTGGTCAGACGGAAACTGCTGTAGTGATGCAATTGGATGGAGCAGGTAGGAAGTGTACCAGTCCCACAGACTGGCCAGCCACTCCAGGTTTGTACGGCTGTCTTCTTGGCTCCTGGTACCACAGCGCCGTTTCTTCTCAAAGTAGTCGACGAGCAGGCCGTGGGCTAGGTAGGTAGACAGGAAGAGAGCTGGGTGGGATGAGTAGAAGGTCCAGTTAGCTCTCACTAGGCTGGCTAGTGTAGTGGTGTCAGCATAACGCAGCAGCTTCAGACTGTAGCCGTGCAGAAGGTCCAGATAGGGCAGCTGAAGGAGAGCCTGGAGAGCGTGAGCAGGCAGGGATTAGTGACAATTATTAACAGTTTTACTCAGTAAAACAGAACATGCAGTCTGTTGTTACATACTGTCAGAGCAGTTTGGATTCTCTCTGATACGAATGCAGTAAAGTGCGACACACAGCCCTGGTTACTGTGGAGGAACTGCACTGTACTTGATTCACTGCCATGAAGGCTAACCAGGGCAAATGCTCCGTGATGTCCTGGTGGATGTAAAACTGGGCACCGTGCAGGCCTGCAGGCCACATGCAGGCCTTTGGTTGGAACGACAGGTAAAGGTCCAGTTCGTCCACCAACATTCTCCAGGAAACGCCCACAGTGGGCGGCTGTTTATTGTGATTTTGTGGAAAATCGTAATTTTGTCGCTTTTAATTTGAAAGTCCCTCCTATTTTTTACATTTATGTGAGTAATATGTGCAAATGAATGCAGCTTAACTGCAAATGCACTGGAACAGATGTTTTAGAGATTTAAGTTGGCTAACCATTAAAAGTGAAAACTCACTCACTTTAAGTCGCCCTGAACAGCACATTACATTGTAGTACAATAATCCAAGCATTTATAAATCTATGTATAAGAAGAAAATCAGAAAACTTTCTAAACATATTAGTGTTTCCACTAAAATGTTTAGAAACTGTTAGCATAAAGCAGGAGAGGCCTCCTCCTGCGGACACGAAGCACGCTCCCTGTGCCCGTCCAAATATTCATTTCAATCAGTATTAAAATGGATTTTCAGTATTTTTGTATTAATGACTTTTAATAAATGTTTAATAAATCACAGAAGATTTGCCTTAAATCTAGATGACTGCTAAAAACCACTTTTTTAAAATCATGTAAAGAAATCGTTATTGTTTAGCTCTCGTTCAGTCTTTTTTTCTTTACTGCAGCAAATGAAAGTAAAATGCTTAACACAAGAAAAACGTCAGGCGTGAGGACTGAGTGGTGCCGATGATTCCCTACCAGAACTGGCAGCCAGGAAACCAGCAGGATGGAGTTGTAGGTCCCAAGTGTTCGGATCAGAACTACAAATCGTTTCACGGTTGCTCCCTGAAAGCATGTTAACGATTCACATCAGAATTTCAGAACAGCACTACATGACCTGGAAGCTAGAAGACCAAAGACAATGCAACAAAACCCGAACACAGAAGGAAAGAAAGTAACATCAGGTTTGGAGATGTTGCAGTAAGAGCTGAAGAGAGCTGTTCAGTCAGGATATCTTACAGTGACGTACAGGTCTGTAACAGGACTGAAGATGCACCAGACAAGTGGCCAGGGATCGGCCAATCAGCATCACGTATAACCGAGCTGGTCCTTTGCATGCACGTACATGGGCAACATGCATGCTTACTAACAGCTAAAATACTCCAGGTAAAGACAGGCGCATGGCAGTTTTTCAGGTAATTCCCTGTGCATCTCTGTAGTACTAGAAAACTTTTTATTTGTTTCAATGACAGAAGAACTGTAACTCAATGCAATGTGGGGAAAACTGTAAAGCTGAATCATTTTATTATGAAAATAAAATTGTGGATTGAAGAAAAGTTGATTGTGTATGCTGTCTGAAATCATTTGTAGGAAGAAACTCAGACTTGACAGTAAGAACAATAATATTGGCAGGAAGAAGAAAGAAAAGGACAACTGATGCATTTCTGGGAGAAACTTCCTGTTCCTGCGCAGGTCTATGAAGCAGCACAGACAGCATGTGTAGTTAGGCTGAGCTAATGTAACTGTAGCTAGAAGCATCAAAGCTGTCAGATGAATGTAGCGCACGAACAAGTAAACTTCGAGTAGAACCTCGTAAATGTAAAGTAAAAACACAAAGTAGAGAGTAGAGGCTTTTTGTCCCCTTTCACCTCTACAACTAAGGAAGACTGAAACAGCGACCTGTGTAATGAAGAGGTCCATCCAGGCCAGCAAGTTGATGAGGACCAAACTGAAGACAAACAGATCGTTGACCTCTGGTTGGACCGAACGCAGGAACGTATCCATGGCAGCGAGGGACAGGAACTCCCCGGTGCTTTGGGGACGAAACACAGACTGCAGTTTAATTTCTTTACATAAAAAAATGTGTTTTTAAAAAATCAGACATCTTCATTAACAGTCATCACCTGTTGCCATAGTGATATATGCCCTCAGGCATCTTAAGGATGTAGGCGGGGCTGCGTGTCACACCAATCTCTGACAGGCTGCTATAGTTACCCCAACGACGCACATCCACAAAGATGAACTCGATCCTGCCGGTGAACTTAACAGACAGCGAGGAGAAGAAGGCCGGCGGCTGGGCCAGGCGGGCAAACAGAAACATTTTCAGTGGATGAGCTGGGTCAGAACGCCACTCCTCCACCAGCTGCTCAGAATGATGCAGGGTTTTGATTCGATGAGCCACATGTGAGGTCATCCAGCGGAAGATCTGCTCAGTTTCCACCCGACTCCCTTTGTACTCTTTAAGCATGACTTTGCCCTTTGATGCTGAAGTCTGGGGAACCGACATGATCAGGGTGGAGCGCTGCCAGCCACGCTTGATGCACGACCTAGCACACAGAAGACATAACCAACAGTGATCCACAGCAGGTCAAATCTACATGCAGTTTCATCTGTCCCACTGGAACCGCTCAGCTTTATGGCCCCATATAAAGCCACTGCTGCTCCACGACATACCAGCGCTGTTATACAGTACGTCGTAGTTGTGCTGCTGTGTGGCAGAGGGTGTGTGTCTGAACATGTAGTGGACTGCATCCAGTCCCTGTAGTCAGAGTGGGTTTGCCAACAGCACATGTCACACATCACAAAGAGCGTGACAGCAACATTTCATCTCTGAGTGGTTCTTCTGACAGCAAAGAACTTCAGCTTGTTTTAGTTTAGCTGTCCAATCAGACCCCGTCCTTCAAACTAGGAAACATTGATCGTGTCCTGGTTTGTGCAAAAACAAGGATGAAGTGGCTTTGAGAGGTCAATGAAACTAAAACAGCTTTTCAATAAATGCTCCTCGTGACCAAGCTGGTGGCACAGTGAATCTTTGCTGTTGGAGAACATCTCCAACTGAAGGTGAGCAAACACGGCTGATTTCACGCTGTCTGCTGGGAGGAAACCAGTTTCCCAGCATACAATCAGTCCGAATCCATCTGTGCCAATGAGCACAACTCTGCGACATGTCCTCCTGCAGTACAGGACTCACGTCAGCTGCTTGTCAACCTGTGAACATCTGATTGTGCTCCACAGCTGCTGAGCACCTGCTGAGTCAAACCGCCGTCCTGTGGAGGAATTCCTGTTTCAGATGTGTCAGGTTCTGCCTGGACTCTGTTAGTAGTTTATATGAATAATTATATAAATTTGTATTTGTTTAACGTGAATTTTTGTAAACCTGCATCAACAGAGTAACAGTATTTAGTTATTTTAGGTGATCATCGTATTATCTCAATCAGATCTCAGCCTCCTGGTAGATACACCTGAGGCATCCAGTGTTGCCTCGTTCACAACACTTTCAGAAAACCCGACCCAAGCGCTCTGAGGCAACTGTTGTTGTGACGTGGTGAATGGTAAATGGACTGATTCTTATATCGAGCTTTTCTGCTCTCCTGGAGGACTCAAAGCGCTCTATACAACACGCCACATTCACCCATTCACACACACTGACACTCCGATGGATGCATCCGAGAGCAACCTGGGGTTAGTTAGTTAGCCCAAGGATACTTGACATGCAGACTGGAGCCAGTAGATGACCTGCTCTACCTCCTGAGCTACAGCCGCCCCACCACGTGGCACTATATGAATAAAAATGAATGAAACTCAACTGACCTCTGACCTTGAGGTCACTGAAATTCAAACTCATCTGTGATTTTCAACACCGTGTCTTATCGCCATATTGTCACTATTGTGGCATGGTAGTTGCTTTGAAGATGGTCACTGGCTGGAAGTCACAGACCTGGTCCTAGACTTGGTCCCCGTCTTCAAAGCAACCACTTCAAAGACTGCAGGATCACTGCACAGGGTCGCGGTGCAGCCTTCCACCATGTTCTTTCCTAGTGTGACTGTCAGATTGTGTAACTGTTGTTCAACTTCCGTAGTGTCTCTTTCTGTGGAGTAACAGCATATCACCTGTAGTCATTGGAGCAGTTGAAGGTTCCAGTTCTGATACCAAACTGGGACACCTTCTGTACCATCTTCCCCCAGTTGGACTGGCTGAGCAGAGCTTCCCGGTCCTGAGCAATGACCTGCCGTCACACACAGGGACATGATACGGTCACACTGGTAGTGCTGGACAATCAGCTTTGCAGATTAAACCCACTTTATTACAAAAGGCTTCCATGTTCCAGTGAGACTGTCACTGTGGGCGATCCGACGTCGCTTCTTTTGTCTCTTTGCACCAGCTTTGTTGTGACAGTGCAGCCATTTCCCATGCATTTACTTTGATTTATGCCACAGCTGCCCTAAACTCCCAGTATGGGTAATTACTAAAATAGTTTACACCAGCAAGCACAAGTTCAGTTCTAGAATTACAATATTTTTAATGCTAAAATATTATTATTGTTATTGCTAAAATTTCAAACTTCCTGTTTTACAAAAAAAGCAGCAGAAAAATAGTAAAGCACATTATTTTTGATTAACATGCCAAATAATACTTGTTTACCTGAATTTCCTAAAGGAATTAATTTCAGTGCAGGGATGTGAACGTTTACATCCACCAGCAGTGGAGCTGCATGCAGTGGAGCTGCATGCAGTGGAGCTGCAGCAGCTTTGGATGTACAAACTTTTACTCAGTTTGTTAGCTGACTAACATACACACACTCAGACTGACTGCAAATATATATTTTTGCTTTGAAACAAGTTTTTGCCAGATTTTGAAAACATTTCGTGGCGGGGGCGTGGCAGGGGCGTGGTCTCTGGCTCCCTGCAGTGGAGGGGTGGTGCAGCGGGCTGGAGGGGCAGCTGCTGCTACTCTGTAATCATATTTTGTATCACCTAATATTTTGATTCATTTCATTTTTCACTCTGATAGACCTACTGAGTAAATATTAAATACATTTGATTATTTTCAAATTAAAACATTTCCTATTTTGAGACAACTGGACAACAGGTGAAGAACTGGAGGACTGCCCACAGAGGCGGAGATCAGAGTTATTGAAATATTTGTTGAGTAATCGAATAATGAAAGAAAATTAGCAGATTAGTCAACTACCAAAACAATCTCCAGCTGCTGCTTGTTTGTGGATCTCTATTTCAATCTTGTCTTCAGTAACTCGACATTATTCTTCATTAGGGTGACCGACTTGTCCACTGAAGAACATTTCTTTGCCTGCAGAAAGTCTTGGGTTGCTTTTGCAGTACACTTTGGGTTATGAAGCTCTGAACGGACACAGTGACCTGTAGCTGTCAAACAGATGTGCTCATATTAGACTAAAGAATAATTATGCTATGTGGAAGTCATGGTCACCTCAGTAACTGCGAGGCTTCCAGGTCCTGTGGCAGCAAAAGAAGATTTCTTTGATGTCACTTGTGAGTAACTATAACTACACCCAACTACACCCTGAGTCTTTCCATAGCTGGATCAATATTAGAACAGGTCACCCAGATCAGACTACTTGGTGTCACCATAAATCACCACCTCTCATGCTCTCAGCATAAAGACTGCTGTTAAGAACATGGGGCAGGGCGCCGCTGATCTTTCTACATCACGTCTTCTGTCATGAAGGATGTTATTAACACACTAGTGTTATTGTTCAATCATCTGGTCAGCAGCGTGTGAGACAGACCTCAGCAGACTTCGGTTAGTCCAGAATAAGGCGACCGCATTAGTGTCAAGATGTTCATACTATACCAGCATCGATCAAATGCAGAATAAACCTTCCAGTACAAGCTAAATTACACCATGGCTTACTTGGACTTCCAGATAAGATACACAATTATGCTACACGACTGCAGTGCAGTAACTCCTCGAGCCAAAGGTCAGTTTTGAAAAACTCTGTTATATTCGGAGCATCTTTAAAGTGGAATAAACAGCCTCACACAATGAGAGCACTGGCTGCTACTGCTAGTTTAAAAACATAAAAGCCTATTCACAGTTTTTAATTATTGTAAACTACAATGTTGTGCCTCAGTGTTATTGATGTTTACATGCTTACATCCTCACTGTGGGTGTAAGAGCTAAATTATGAGGAGATTTTTGCATCTACTTTGTTGTGTAATGTTTTATTAGCTTATACTTGATGGCTCGGGCCCCTGGAAGACTAGCAACCACTACCGTGGAAGCTGATGGGGTTCCTTATATATAAATAGATAAATAAGCCCTTTCTCATAGGCAGCAGCAGTTAATTCTTTACTAATGCATTTCCTCCTTTGCTTTACATTAATACCCCTGAAAGCTCCAGACCGACAAACTACTCGTATGTTTGCTTTAATGGAGGTGGTCACACTTTCTAAAGATTAATTCATCAAACACATTTGAGTAGCAACACCCGGCTGCTGCTGCCTGCAAGTTTCTTTTTTTTGGACACTTAATCATTCACCACTGACAGGTTTAACAGAGAATGTGCTTTTACCTGAACTAACCAGATCCCATCCTTAGTGTCCTCTACTAATTCATAGAAGTGCACCTCTCCACTGAAGTGTGTGGTGCTGGAGCCGTCGGCCTCTGTCTGCTCCTTCTGCTTCTTTATGGCCGAGTACAGCTCCCCCTGTGTCAGCTCTCCTGTGACAGAGCAAAGTGCAGCAGCTTTTAAAGAGCACTGATACTTGACATCCATGCAGCAGTGGTCTACGTACAGGCAAAGACCACATACACACACACTGCGCAAAGTTCTTGAACCACCTCATGTTTGTTTTTGTGTCACATCCAAGGCCAGGACAGTTAAAGTGGTCTTGAGTACAAACATTTTTCACTCTTCAGTCCAGTTTTTGTACGCAACCACTTTCAAAGGAAGTTGTTTTTTTCCTCCTTCTTTGATAAGCCACATAACGCTGACCTACGAATCAATCAAACAGAAATAAGGGACCTAAATCAAAGGATGAACCGGTGTTGTTCCAGTCATATGACGAAATGAACAGTATCTATGAATTTCTCCCTCTCATGCCATTTAAAAAAATAAAAAAACAAACCCTAATTCTTCATCCTGCGTCTTTATTCTTCGAGCGCGGTCAGAAGAGGAGCTTGTCCTGTGCAGTATCTTTGCTGTTCCTAGGACTGTGCTCTTGATGTCTCATGTCATTCCTGGGATCTGCTGGAGCCACCTGCCCAGGTATGGAGAACTCCGCCCGAGTGCTCCGATGACCACGGAGGTCACTGTCGCTTCCACGTCTTTCTTGTATTGATGCCAGAGGCTTCAAACAGTTATATTGTTCCAGCAGGGCATCTTGAGGCATCTTGAGGCGCCTTTTGTTGTGATTTGGCGCTATATAAATAAAATTGAAATTGCATCTGACAGCCGGCAGGTGTTGATTGGTTGGATCTTGTTCTTCCCGTTCAGCCGACTCCTCAGGACTCGTCTCTGCAGGTGTTTGGTGGTTGCAGCTTTCCTAACAGCCTCTTCATGGTTCCCATCTGACTGTGGGACTCCAAGTATTACAGCTACATTCTCTGCCTGCAATGTGCAATCCCCTCAGTTCTGATCACCTTCCCCCTTTGTGTTACATCCTCCTACACGTCTCCAGTCCGAATGACAGGCCAGTGTTATTGCTGTTATTGATCTTAGTGGATCAGTGAGCTGATCTCTCAGTCACTCCTAGCATGCAGCTCGATGTCATCCATGCACAGGAGGTGGCAACGTGTGCCGTTCACTTGAGGCTGGTCTATAGTGCCGTTTGCCACATCCCACTGATGTCCTGATGATGCCACTTCATCAGCCATTGCTATTAAGTGCAGGATTTACAAAGGAGATGACCTCCACTGCTGTTCTGCATTACTGGCTACAGAAACCAACTACAGAACAGAGCAACTGTTATCCACCTCCTGTGCATGGATGACATCGAGCTGCATGCTAGGAGTGACTGAGAGATCAGCTCACTGATCCACTAAGATCAATAACAGCAATAACACTGGCCTGTCATTCGGACTCCTATTGATCGTGTACATTTTTAAGCATTCCACTGCTGCGGTCTAAGCATTGTTATGTGTTGCATCCTTGTCCCGTGTACCCTTCCAGTCTCAGTGGAGCTGTCCTCATATTGTTCCCCTAACACTGAGCAGAAAAGCTGGTTTATTCTCCTGGACTCGATATCTCTGGCATACTGGACTCTTCAGGAGGTTAGCAGTTTCCAAAGCCTCAGACATGGGCACACTTTTCTTCATCACACTTTTCTCCAGTTCCGATAGTTGGCTACCTGACATCCTGGCTTCCCCTTGTCATAGACAAGGTACAACACAAACGCTATCTCCAGCTGCAATACAAGTGACTGCTTCCAGATGTTGGAACGCTGAGCTACTGTTGTGAAGAGTGCAGTCCAAGGAACAGCAAAGACACACACACTGGAGGCCACCGACGCAGTGTAAGTGGCTGACAAAGAAATCCTACCAATGACTGATTGAATTTTATAAAGCTGGAAAATCAAAATCTACCGAAGGGACTGTATCAGCAGTGTTCAAACTAAGACCTGAAGAAACAAAAATTACAGCCACAACTTCCAGAAAAAGTGTTTAGGATGCAAAGAAAGCTCCACAAATAACTTCAGCTGGCAAACAGGCAGGACTCGAAGAAAAAACCTCATTTGGGTCGTTTCTGTTATTATGATTTTAAAAGAGCAAACACATCAAATTGTTAGCAAATGTCAGGAACCACCGATCCAGTCCACACCGGCAAAGAAATTCAACTACAGCTACAGACATGGAGTCATCACACCAACTGAGATCAATCAATTAGAAGACAAACTCATATTAGCTGCTTCAGTCCCCAGTGATGGCCTATCAGAACCTGTTCCAATACCAAGATGTCCAAGAAACATCTACAACAGGTCAGATCAATGCGCTCTCGCAGGACACTCACAACCTTATAGGTGGAAAACGTAAGAACAGATTTGGTTACAGAAACATTTCAAAACGAATTAATTTCTCATTATTACACATAATTCATGATCATCTACGGTTTGATTCTTCACAAATATATTTACTTAGAAAACAGGTGACATGTTCGATACTTGTACACACACACACACACACACACACACACACACACACACACACACACACACACACACACAC